CAATATATGATCTACATGCTGCATAAATTACATTCTTGATATATATATAATCCACTAACCATAACTGCGTCAAAAAGATAACCCTAAACTTCACTCCGCTTCAGCTGACCACTAAAATAGGAAAAAAAGTGATAACTATAATACCTTCTAAAATAGAAAAAATATAGCACACCAAAAAGTTGAACGCTCCACATTTCATGTGATCGTACTGGTATAACATGTAGATAAACGTTATTACATAAAAAATATAGCAAGTACAAAGATAACTAATATATAGCTTATACAATGAAAGTTAAATATATTAATATTTTTATCTAAATTAATTAGCTCTTGAAATAATTGCACATAACTTTGTTCAGACTTATTTGTCATTAAAATATATACAAGTGGAAAAATGCGTGAATTACTTTCTCCTCCAACTGGAGCATGTATAGTATACAACTGTTGGAATAGTGTTGGAACCATTCAAAAAGTTCTATCCATAAGCCAATATTTAGCTTCTTCTAAATGTTGAAGGTTGTTTGTTGTACAAAAAATCATTATTTTTTCATTCTCAAACGATTTCTTTGACAAGAAATCGTTCTCTCTGAACAGTTGTACGTAATAAGGCCAGAACATTAATATCTTCTAATGATTGGGGATGAGAAGGTAATTCTTTATTTCTAATACGTGAAATCTGTTTACGGATAGCTTCATTATTTGGCATATAGCAGAAGGATGCCTCAGGCATATTGATGATGGCATCTTGGATAATTTGAGATGGTTTGTCATGTGTATATGGGGCCTTTTCTTTAATATCATTAAGAGCTTGTATTATATCTGCATGGCTAGCCTCAGGGGTATTGTTAATCTGTAGCTTTTCCTTTAACCACAGCGATAACAGAAGCTGTTCAACTATAGTATTACGACTATAACTTGACAGATTCTATGCAAAGTCTACACAAGACTTAACAATATACAGAGTGATTTGGGATTTTAAGACAGAGGCAACAATAGATAGTATATGA